ATTATTATTATTATTATTATTATTTATCATCATCATCATCATCATCATCATCATCATCATCATCATCATCATCATCATCATCATCTCACTCCTATGTCAACATGGATTCAATCCTAAAATATGCTTTCTTGGGCATCCTAAAATGTGGATTTATATGTTTTATGATCCCCCCTTTTTTTGTAAAGGACAGCTGGGTTGCAAAGCTATGGAATGTCAATACCTTTGCTGTGATCCTGCACAGTGCCCCAAAAGCTGTTGTGAACCACCAAGTCAGTTTGCTTTCCACAGTTTACAATCCACAAGTGCCTAGACTACTTGACACTAGAAGAAATCACATAGAGGACTGCCTCTGATTAACTATGGTCGCCTTTGGCAGGCTATGTATGTGTCATAGTTGTCTTGGTGTTTCTGGGTGATGGTTGCTGTATCAGCAACAGATCCCCCAAACTGCTAACATTTCTAACAGTGAGGGATGGAGTTATTAAGGCTTTGCATGATTGCTCCAATTTGGTCTGGAGGCCAGTTCAGGATTTGGGGATGGATCCTAATTCACTTCCAAGTGATTTCTTCCCATCCAGTTCAATACAGTCTCTGGTTCTGAATCAGTTTGTCAATTTGGATTGCAAGCCTCTTATTGGCTTGCACAGGAAAACTAGAACAGCTATAACTTCTTTCTTTTTGCACTGAAGTAGATAGAATTTGGAGACATAATCGATCCTAGTGAGAGGATTAAACCTGCCAAATGTTACCCAGCTAGCTTCAGAGATGTGTGCCAGAGGCACTTTTAAATTTTTCTTTAAACAATAGCATCATAGCAGGTAAAAATAATGTATGCCCCATTCAGTGCTACTTATGTCTCGGATTTGGACTGATCTGTGGATTTCCTTTGCTATCTAGACATCCCACTTCAATCTGGACCTCATACAAATTGTCCAAATCAGGCAGATTTAGTTAGTAGTTCAGGCTTTGTTATCTAAGACAAATCTTTATTTTGAGCCAGGAAGATAACTTCAGTCTCCAACTGGCAGAGCCCCTTTCCTGTCTATTCAACAGAAGAAATGCCAGAGGCAGAATCTGAGGAGAAAGCTTATGAATAAAGCAAAGGCAGTTGAGACCTGAGGGGAGAGAAGTAAGGAAAAGAAAGTACTGTATGTCTGTCTTCAAAACACTGGTTGAAAAACCTGAGGGGAGAGAAGTAAGGAAGAGAAAGTATGTCTGTCTTCAAAACACTGGTTGAAACTGATTGTGTAAATTACACTGTGTGAGGCCTTGACAATTTTTTTCAGAAATAAAAGATTTCTGATTTCTTCCCCAAAGGTCCCAAAGCTTCTGTAGAGTTTCCTTCATCACTGGGAAGCCATTGGGTGCTGTGGGACGGGAGAGGGAAGTCATTGATTTCTGAAAAGCACAGCTTCTTCTTTCCTGTCCCACCATCCTCACGGCTTCCTGGCAATGAAAGGGATTCCATGGCAGTTGCAGGACCACTGGGAGAGAAATCAGCCATGTTTTACTTCTGAAAAATCATTGTGACTAATGGCATCATCAGCATTTCACAGCTTAACTCATGGTAACAGGATTTCAGCCACCTCTGAGAACATCATGATGGTTGACCCTTTTTTCTCAAAACTATCTCTCTCTGGTGAGGTCGAAGGCCAGCCAGAAACTGGAGCTGTTGCTGTGTGTAAAAAGTTACCTAATGTTTGGGAGCAGAATCACTTGAACTTTTTCAGAGTTCTTTGTAAAATCCTCTTAACACTATGGGAGTTGCAACCTGACTTTGTTCAGATCTAGAAATGTCCTTCACAAGTTTAAACCACAAGTTTGAGAATAACCCAACTTTTTGCCTTATATGGCAGCATGGATAAAAGTCATTAATCTGCTTAGTCACAGAGATTATTGGCTTGTTGAATAGGTTTTATTATGAGACTGACATCACACTTATGTGAGTTTCAAGCAGAGCTTTCTGTATGTTAATGTAGACAGAAATTATTTTTGCCTATAGAAATATTATATACTAGCAGGGTAGGTGGTGTTTGTCAGAATAAACAACTGGTGCTTTTTCAGTAATTAGAGAGGAATGACAAAATTTCCGACAAGATTTGCTGCAGCATACTTAGAGATAGCCATTAGAGACAGCCACCCTACCATTAGGTAGAGTCAGGCAGCTGCTTTGGGATGTCATGAAAGGGTAGCAAATTATTAGTTATTTCTTTCTTATTCTCATATTTTTACTGCCACAGATGGGGAGAAATATTTGTAGGGTGGACACATAAAGTGTCAAAAAAAGAAGCATCATCATCATCTAAAGAAGAGAGCAAAAGAGGACACTGATCTCCATAAAACTGCATAAATGAATCGATATGTAGGGAAACAAAATTAGAATTATTTTTTTTGCAGAATCACCTGAGTAGGCAAAACAGTGACCAGGTAACCAGTGTGCCTGTTGAGTCTGCCAAACAAGAAACCATTGTGGATAGGCAGCTTCAAGTTTTGTGATCTGCCTGCTTGTGAATCTTTATTGTTAACCTATTCAGCTGTGTTTCTGACTAGACAAACTAAAACCTACCAAACCCCTCCTCGTCAAGGTTTACTGTCTGTAGTTTAGGATAAAATGAGGGCAGGTTCTGATGTGATGCTTCCTAATATGGTATGGATATCATGCACAGTTGTGGCTAAATTGCTAATACCTTCCAAACCCTCTGAACTCTTCACATCACTTTGCCTAGTGTGTGGTGAGCTGCATGAAGGCCAATGGCTGCTCATGGTCTCCCCATTTTTACCCCCTCATTGAGTATCCTCCAGAATTCTTATTGTTGTGGTTGCTTAAATATGGGGAATCATAATCCACGAACTGTGATATTCCTTGAAACCAAGGTACTACCCCCCCCCATGTCAATCTGTTATTGGGAAAAAAAGTTTTAGAATGAAATGAAAGAATATAAAACAAAACATGGGATATTTTAAAAAAACATACAGGGAATTCCAGCCTTTTTAGGGTTTGGCAAAAGGCAATGATGTTACTTGTGGCAGGTCTGGAATGAAGATAAGAAAGGTCTGGATTTTTTGGACTTAATCTCCCAGAATGCCATTGCTGATAGTGACCACTAGGCTGTGGGATTTTGGGAGCTGTAGTCCAAAAGCAAATCTTGACCATCTCTGGTTTGGGGAGATATAACAAATGGGCCCTGAATACTCCAAAGCTGTCCACCTGTGACTTAATCCATGCCACCTGCAGCTGATCCAAGTCACACAACCTTTTCTATACCCATAGTTTGAAAAACACAAATAGTGACAAATTAATAGAAACAGCCCTAAAATGAAGAGAGGCATGATGACCTATCAGAGTAGTGGAGCATTCCTCTGTACCAGATTTACCTTCTTCTTGGGGTAATTCATTATATATACCAGAAGGCATTATTACAAGGGGATGTATGAGATGAGTGGGCCATCCAGAGATATTTTATCACCTGAGGTGGAGGATGGTGCCCCGCCCATTCCATGTCTGATCCACTGATCGGCACTAGTAATGGGCTGGTATTGTCCATCACGCCCAAGAACAGAAGTTCAGTTTATGAGATGCTACTTGGCATATCCAGAGCTCACGAAAAGTCTTCACCATCTATTCTCAGGTACCTGCCTTGTTTTGCTTAATGCTAGAGCTGACCCAGAGCCGAGGGGTGTAAAAAGCAATTACTGTACATACACACTAAGGACAATTAATGCAATCATTTTCCTCAGCACTGCTTTATCAGAGCCTGGAAAAGTTACTGTTCAGGACACTTTAATTCCCAGAATCCACCAGGTAGCATAATAATTGACTATGCTATATGTTTGAGGATTATGGAATTTGAGTTTTTAAAAAACAAATTTCCAAGCTCCAGTATTGATAGCAGTGTTTGCTTATAGAAAGAAATCAGAAGTTGTTCCCGGTCTTATCTGCTTGGTGCTCAACAGAATTTCCCACATACAATGTTTTGTATCTATTAAATGGCTTCAGTGTTTACTTAAATCCTATAGGTAGGAACAGATTTTATAAGACATTTATTCATCTTGACCAAAAATAATTCCATTAATTGAATTTAATAGGAATGTATGATTCACTTATAGGACCAATGTTTTCTGAGTAGGAGGCAGACAATTTTCATTTTTCTTCTACATGTCAGTTTTTAAAATCTCATTTTAAAAACTGACATGTATTTTTAAAATTGAATTCCATCCAATTCATGAAGATGTATGTATATTTAGGAAAGTTCTTGTAAACCCAACTGCCAAAACAAATGAAATTTTCATTTGTCTCTGATTCATGCTCTTCAAGAGGAAAACAGATAATTTAATATTGTCAAATATTATGTCTGTGGAACTAGCAAGCATCATTTCAACCCCTTACTATATGAAGCATGAGCAAACTGTAACCTCTACTCTGTTTAGAATTAAAATCATGTTTTATGAATATTTGAAACACAGTAAATAGTTTGAATATGAAATGTTCAATATATTCCTTTCTAAAATTTAATTTTGTCCTTCAACATGGTGTTTTAGAGAATTTTGTATAAAATTATAGCCCTTTCCATGCTCATGCACATTATAAAAAGTAATATTAGTTTTCCAAATTCAATATATCAAATTATTCACTGCATATTATATATTTCACCTCTCCTTGTACTTTGTTTGCCACATACTATGGTTGCTGGAGTTATAAATCAGGACTGATCAAAACTTTGTCATCGTAAATCCCTAAATTTCCCAGCGTTCATAGTTGTAAAAGCCTTGAATTAGGGAAAGATATGTATAAATTATTTATAACACGTGTGTGAGTGGGAGAAAGACTGAGAGAGAGAGGGAGAAGGAGAAGATAAGAGATTTATAAGAAATGTTCTGCCTGATTTCACCAGAAACACATTTTTGGAGTATTGTGTCAAACATTTACGAGGCAGCCAACTGATCTGCAGGTGAAATTCCCCTGGAGAGAAATGTCAAACAATACACATTTTTTGACTTACCCGCTCATGCATGTCTATGATGTTTTGCTCGTACTCTGTGAAATCACGCTTGAGGCCGTGAGACCTCTTCTGGTGCCACTCCCGGATGCATCCCTCCAGCTGAGTGTTGGCCTCCTCCAAGGAACGCACCTTGTCCAGGTAGGTTGCCAAGCGGTCGTTCAGGTCCTGCATGGTCTGCTTCTCATTCCTGTCCATGAAGAGGTTCCCATGGCTGCCACCAAAGCTTCCCCAGCCTGCCCTGGTGGCATCAGAGGTAAGCCAGATGGGTCTTCCGAAGGAGATGGGAATGTGTGTATTGCTACTTCCTCCATGCAAGCTGGAAGCTCTATAATAACCCCCACCGGCGTGTGGGAAGCTGCATCCTCCAGCCCCTCCGAGAGATCCAGAAGAGAAGTGGTAGAGACCTTGGCTGGAGCACATCGTGTTACCTATTAGAAACTGAATGTACACACACGCCGGCTCTTTCCCTCCCTCCTGATTTACTGGCACTGCCTGAGAAGTGTCTCAACCTTCCTTCAGCGCTCTTAAGCCTTACCCTGTGGGAGTTCCCTTATGTTAAACAACAACACCAACATGAATTGTGTCATCACAAAATACGTGTTTCCTCTTAGTCAGCCCTGAAAGGCTATGAGCCTGCAAACGTGCCTGTCATTCTTTGGAACAACAATAAAACAACAAAATACCAAAGGTTGTAAGCTAATTTTCTCGCTCTTCCTCTCCCTCTCTTTCTTTTTTCTTTTTTTCCTCTCCATTATAACACTGAGGTGTGCCTACTCAAGGGAGGGGCATACAGCAGAGCTAGAACAGGCCAGAGTCTGCTTCAGGTTTCTTCAAATCACATGGCTCACTGTGTTGTTAGGTTTAGTTGTTTGCAGTAGTAAGAAGAACTACAGTACTTGAATTACTTGCAGGATTGAAAGCCAGAGAAAAAGCTAGGCTTCTGTTGGTCATGTTTAAGGGGCTAATGCTCCCGAGTTCCATTTCTTAAATCTCTGCATTTGTAACATCATTTTTTAAAAAAATCTTAAAAGCTTAGGAGCTTAGTAGCTTTGTGTGCTAATCAAGCCATTATAGAAACTGTTTTAAGAACGAAAGGTTGTATAAATACTTTTAACAAAGCAAAAACGAGTTCTGAACATGAATTCAGGAGTTCTGGGCCAACCACTGCCTCTGCAATTATTCTTCTGCACCAGAGCGTGGTTACTTGTAACATGTTATTTTGGGGGTACTCTAGTCAGTAATATAACTAGCACCCAAAGTTACTTTTTAAGAGCGATGAGTAACTTCTATATTACTTAGGTGTTACAAGTAGCACCTGGTTGCATTCAAACATTACCTTTAAAAGGACATCTTAAGGCAGTTTTGGAGGCATTTAGATCAGCATTTTTCTGGTTGTACAGTGGAACCTTGATTTATGAATGTCCCTACCTGCGAACATTTCGACTTACGAACCCTCTATTCTCAAAATTTTGCTTCAACTTGCAAACGGAGTGGCCACTTATGAACATAAAAAGGCAGGGGGAACTCCACTTAAGAACACAAAAATGCAGGGGGAAAGGGTGGGAAATTTGAATTTACTGTTGGTGGCAAAGAGGCTGTTTCTTTGTAGCTCTTTCACCCCAACAGTTAGGCAAAGGGATGTGGTGGGGGTAGCTCAGAGCCAGGAGGCTTGAGCCTCCTGGGTGCTCTGGCAGGGGCGGTGGAAGCAGCGATCGCCCAGCACCGGGAGGCTTGAGCTGGCCGTGTTTCTTCAGCCGCTCGCCGCTGGCCGCAGCAGAGGCAGCAACTGCCCAGCGCTGGGCAGCTTGAGCTGGCCGGGTTTCTTTGGCCACCTGCCCCTGGCCAGGCGGAGGCAGCGGTCTCCCAGTGCTGGGAGGCTTGAGCTGGCCGGGTTTCTTCGGCTGCTTGCCTCCTGTTCGCTCCTCACTGCCCTCCGCCATTTGAATTTCCCGCCATCGGCCCATGGAGGGTGGCGCGGAGCAAGTGGAAGGCGAGCTGGGAGACGAGTGGCTGAAGCACCCCGGCCAGGCTGAAGCCTCGCGCCTGGCGGTTGTCACAGCAGCAGTGGAAGTCCAGAACACTGAGGAGGCTTCGGACTGCTAAGGTGCTGCTTTTTCCTTTTTAAAAAACTGTTCTGGGTGGGTTTGGACTGTGGGGGTTATGTTTCTATGTTGTGTTGTTTTTGGGTTTTTTCCCCATCCCAGCATGGGACTTGCTCTGTTTATTTTTATTTTTGGTTTTTTAAAAAAAATGCTGGAATGGATTAATCCCATTCCTACGCATTTCAATGGGAAATGGTCCGACGCTTTGTGACCCCATAGACCAAACACCATTCCAATACAGATTAAGTTTGTAAGTCTAGGTACCACTGTATGCCATTCTCTTATCAGTCTCTAAGACATACAACTTGTACATGAGGAAAAATGTGTTTGCTGCCTTTCACCAGGAGAAAGGTGGCATAAAAATAAAATGAATCAATCAATCAATCAAGAAAAGCTAAGAACATTTCCCTTAACTTGTAGGACTGATAAGGGAAAGGTGTACAAGCCACAGTGCAATATCAGAATTTGTACTAGTGGGAATCCAAGAATATTTCCCAGAATTTTGCTGTCCCTTTAGTAAGAACAATACAACAATACAATACAACACAAGGAATTGCCTATGCAATTGGAGATTCCTAATTATGATGGCAATGTGGCTGTTGATAAATAATGGCTGAAATCCTGTTGTGCAATTGAGCAAATGGTGTAACTTTGGAAAGTGAGTTGCCTTAAGTTAAGAAATCTTCATAGACATGAAAAACTCTGTTGCATATTGTGTTGCATAACTTAGTATGTGGTATATTAAACCTACAGAGGTTTCTTAACATGCGACGATTCATGTTTATAAGTTACGCCATTTCTGTAGCTGCAGAACAGGATTTCAGCCAATGAGTGACATGTGTTTCTGTTCTGAGTTTTGTTTGCATGCACAGGTGCACACAGCAGACTCCAGGGAGGCGGTGAGCAAAATTCCTTTTAGATAATCCTTCAACTCTCTTGTTGGGCTCTGGTGGACATGGCAGTTGTGGCTAGCACTAGAGATGTAAAAGAATGTTGTTGCATTTGCCAGCCTTGGGTTGTTGTTGTTGTTGTTTAGTTGTTTAGTAGTGTCCGACGCTTTGTGACCCCATAGACCAAAGCACGCCAGACCCTCCTGTCTTCCATTGTTTAATCAGTTTATTTAGCTCTTCTCAAGACTCATTACAAGAAGAGATTCTGGGAATTTGCAAAAGATTCATATAACTTATTTTGGAGGAATAATGTGCACACATAAATAATGCTCATGTTTAAAAATGTGACATGTAAAAATGTACATAATGGAAAAATTACAGACACATTGGTCAGTGGCAGAAGACTAACTTAGAGACCTGGAGTGGGCATCAATGGCAGGCTTTGTCATGGACCTGAGCGCAACCTACTGATACCAGGGATCAGTGCTAACTGGATTCACATGTTATTTGTCCACATTTTGACAGCTAATTCAGTAGATTAGGTGTTGTTCAGAACATTGCCCCTAACATTGACATCTATTTATATTTCCAGTTTTCATCAGTCATTATCATTCGGTGCGACACTCTGACACAGCCTTCTCCAGCCTTCCCTGCTAGCATGGCTGTGCTGCCTGAGGGTGATGGGAATTGTAGTCCAACAAATCTCGAAGGGAAAAATGTCAGAGATTTTCATTTAAAATAATAGTAAGAACAGACATGGGGCAGGCCAATTTCACCATGGATTCAGTGTACAGAAAGCAAGGCCCCCATTTCATATCCTCATGGAGTTTTCCTATACTGTTTGTTGATGTTCAATATACATTTATGCTACACCATAACTTCTGGAACAACCTTTCACACAAATTCAAAATTCAGCCAAATTTGAGAACTAAATTTGCCCTTGTGAACATTCTCAAAATTCACTTGAGAAGTTCAGCTTAAAAGAGTACGGAGATATGGTTTTGTTTTAAATTTGAGGTTGCCATGATGAATTCAAGGCAGTAAGCTGAGTATTACTTTGCCAAATATGTTTACCTGTTGGGAAAAAAAAGACCAGGAAAAAGAAAAGGAAAATAATTTTAAGGTAGGGGACAATAGAATTCAGATTAGAGTATTTGCAAGGAAAATTAGATTCTGGGAATTTGCTTCAGATCACATACACCACATCTTCATTTCCGCTTTTATAATATTTTTGCATAGATTGGAGATGGTCTGTTAGTGATACTTTTGGTGCTACTGACTATAAATAATATATGTGGTTACTATTGTTTGTGACTGTGTAGCAACACTGGCACTTGTTACACCTAGAAAACAGTGGTAATGGGGCATTACAGTGGTGCCTCGCAAGAGGAGTGCTCCGTTTTACGAGGAAATCACATTACGATGAAGTTTTTACGATCGCAAAAGCAATCGCAAAACGATGTTTCCTATGGGGGAATTTCGCTTTGCGATGATTGGTTCCCTGCTTCGGGAACCGATTCTCGCAAAACGACGATTTTCCTACAGCTGATCGGCGGTTTCAAAATGGCCGCCGGGTAAAAAAAATGGCTCCCCGCTTTTTTCTGGGACGGATTCCTCGCTGCATGGGCAACGAAAATGGCCGTGCTATGGAGGATCTTCGCTGGACAGTGAGTTTCAAGCCCATAGGAACGCATTAATCGGGTTTTAATGCGTTTCTATGGGCTTTTTAATTTCGCTTTACAATGTTTTCGTTCTGCAGCGATTTCGCTGGAACAAATTAGCGTCGTAATGCGAGGCACCACTGTATTCTCCATCTCAGCTGGAAGCTAACCTGCCTACAGCCTCCAACAGAAGAATCACCAAGGAGCTCTACTACTGCTCTCTGCACATCAGCCTTCTGAGATGATTGCCTTGCTCAGCCTAATAGTAGAGCTGGCTCCTGTGTTTTGGGTACTGTTTGTAACTGCTCTGTACTAAACTAAGGGCATTGTGAATATACTCAAAGCTGTCCAGTCTTATTACATCATGTGTTCCTGAGATTGCTTGCTATTGCAGCAGGTTTTTATTTTAAAGTATAGCATGTTTAATAATTCCACTAGCTGATGCCAAAAGATTATAATTGTTGATAATCATACGCGAGTGAATTAAGCAAAGAAGTTGGCACAAAAGATAGGATGGGGATTTTTTTAAACATGCAGTTGCTGATTTGTTTTTTTTCCCCAAGGCCTCACTCTTAAACACAAACAAGATCTAATAGAAAAAAAGCATCAGATTTGCATTTAATGCTGGCTGGGGGGGCTGGTAGGGAGGTAATTTGGCGTCAGGAAAGGGAAAGAAAAGAAAAAGAAAAGAGCCAGTGAGATGTAGTGAAGAGAGAGTCAGACGAGGACTGAGGAGGTCTGAGGTGAAATCCCTGCTCATTCATGGAAACTCATGTCCTGGTTTGCACAAGAGATGGGCAGGAACCAAACTGCAAATTGACAAAACCCACAAACCAGGTTGGAACTTTTTTCCAGCCAGAGCTTCATTTTGGCAAAATACATGAATCAGAAAAACGAACTGCAAACCAGTTCATTTTACCGACGTTTGTGGATAGTTCGTGGTTAGTCACAAACGGTCCAATTCAACGTTTTGCCCATCTCTAGTTTGCACTGTTAGAAAACTGCAGTTCTATGAAATCTTTTCCTGCCAGTGACTTCATGGAGCATTGAAGGTGTGCCTTGATATTTGTGCAGATTACAGAA